CATGATTCCCTTTTATTAATATAAAAAATAGAAAATAATAAAAATGAAGAAAACTACAGAGCCGTCCGCAGAGAAGATTCTACGGAATGTACTATTTCAGCAACTGCATGAACTTGTTTGTTTCTTTGCCAAGGCATTCAATAAACCATTTGATTACTATATGAGGTAGAATACATAATTAAAGGATTGTCACACTGTTTCTGGTCGTATTTAGAGTCTCATTCTTTGTGGGTAACCCTGAATTTCTTATCCTTGAGACTGAAAGGTCTAGAAACAAGGACTTAAGTCTTCTTGTTTGAAATATATATATTTGTCTATGAATTAGTGTTTAGCGTGTGAAAAACTGGAAGCACGTGTTCTAATTTATTGTTATTTTACAAAACGCCAGAAGCCGGACTTTTTCTCACTAATTTGTTCCATTAAACAAAGAAATAAAGTGACAATTCTCGAAATATCTAAAATTACATGCACAGTGCACACTGCACACAAGTTATTTGTTTTTAGTAATACAGGGAGATAAAGAAAATTGTGGAATGAATTTCTATTCGGTTTGTTGAGAATCAGACATGCCACTCTATCAGGTTTCAGGTCGATATTTAAGGGTATTGTTGAGAATCTGACATGCCACTCTATCAGGTTTCAGGTCGATATTTAAGGGTATTGATGATAATCAGACATGCCACTCTATCAAGTTTCAGGTCGTTATTTAAGGGTATTGTTGAAAATCAGACATGCCACTCTATCAAGTTTCAGGTCGTTATTTAAGGGAATTGTTGAGAATCAGACATGCCACTCTATCAAGTTACAGGTCGTTATTTAAGGGTATTGTTGAAAATCAGACATGCCACTTTATCAAGTTTCAGGTCGTTATTTAAGGGTATTGTTGAAAATCAGACAAGCCACTTTATCAAGTTTCAGGTCGTTATTTAAGGGTATTGTTGAAAATCAGACAAGCCACTTTAACAAGTTTCAGGTCGTTATTTAAGGGAATTGTTGAAAATCAGACAAGCCACTCTATCAAGTTTCAGGTCGTTATTTCAGGGTATTGTTGAAAATCAGACATGCCACTCTATCAAGTTTCAGGTCGTTATTTAAGGGTATTGTTGAGAATCAGACATGCCACTCTATCAAGTTTCAGGTCGTTATTTCAGGGTATTGTTGAGAATCAGACATGCCACTCTATTAAGTTTCAGGTCGTTATTTAAAGGGTATTGTTGAGAATCAGACATGCCACTCTATCAAGTTTCAGGTCGTTATTTAAGGGTATTGTTGAAAATCTGTCATGCCACTCTATCAGGTTTCAGATCGTTATTTAAGGGTATTGTTGAGAATCAGACATGCCACTCTATCAAGTTTCAGGTCGTTATTGGATATTGTTGAGAAACATAAATGCCACTCTATCAAGTTTCAGGTCGTTTTTTAAGGGAATTGTTGAGAATCATATATGCCATTTTATCAAGTTTCAGGTCGTTATTTAAGGGTATTGTTGAGAATCAGACAAGCCACTCTATCAAGTTACAGGTCGTTATTTAAGGGTATTGTTGAAAATCAGACATGCCAATCTATCAAGTTTCAGGTCGTTATTTATGGGTATTGTTGAGAATCAGACATGCCACTCTATCAAGTTTCAGGTCGTTATTTAAGGGTATTGTTGAGAATCAGACATGCATTTCTATCAAGTTTCATGTCGTAATTTAAGGATATTGTTGAGAATCAGACATGCTACTCTATCAAGTTTGAGGTCACTTGAAAATGCATTTAAAGTTTCCTTAACCCTATAAAGGCTGGGGGGTCTGAATCTATGTATAGCCTGGTGGGGGCGTTCCATGCTCCCCCCCCCGGCCTCCCCTCATTGAAAAATGACTTAGAGAATTGGTATAGGGTTAAAATGCATGTTTAAAGCCCAATTTTTGATGGCCAGCTCATTGAAAAAAAAGATAAACTGTAATGTAAAAAAATGGCCAAAAAAAGTAAAAATTTTGTTTTTGTTTTAAACAAATATCAAAAAGTGACACATGTTTCTACATCAATTTTACAAGGGTTTTTTAAAAATATAGTTGTTAGATCTGTAGGTTTAGTCACGAAAAAGATATTGGATATTTTAGACTTTTATTTTACACAGACCGGACTTTTACCCTAAATAAAAATGGTTTTTACAAAAATTCTTTAAATTTCTATTTATTAAAATCACTTAATTTAACTGTGATAGTGTCAAAAATGAGAGTGCAAGGATAAAGAAACTAGCCAGTTTATGGTTAAGTACTAGCCAGTTTAGGGTTAAGTACTAGCCAGTTTAAGGTTAAGTACTAGCCAGTTTAGGGTTAAGTACTAGCCAGTTTAAGGTTAAGTACTAGCCAGTTTAGGGTTAAGTACTAGCCAGTTTAGGGTTAAGTACTAGCCAGTTTAATGTTAAGTACTAGCCAGTCTAGGGTTAAGTACTAGCCAGTTTAGGGTTAAGTATTAGCCAGTTTAAGGTTAAGCACTAGCCAGTTTAGAGTTAAGTACTAGCCAGTTTAAGGTTAAGTATTAGCCAGTTTAAGGTTAAGTACTAGCCAGTTTAGGGTTAAGTATTAGCCAGTTTAAGGTTAAGTACTAGCCAGTTTAGGGTGAAGTATCGCCGACTCCTAATTCCCATGCTTAGTAACACATGAAGTTTAATGGTTGGAAGTTTTAATAAACATTATAGAGTTATTTTATATGTTATTTCTGAAAGATAAACTGTTATTTTGTGCAAATATGTAGATCAAATGTACTTCATATTAAATATGAAATATTATTTAACTTGACAAAGTTTATCCATTTCTATTGGATGCCGCCAGAAATCCACTCACTACAAGGGAGGCCAGGGCAAACAAAACCTCTAAAAACAAAAACAAAACAACTTTATAGTTGTTGTTTTTTCATCGATAAATGTGATAAGAGAGCCTCCAAAATATTGTTTTTTTACCAATAAATGTGACGAGAGAGCCTCCAAAATATTGTTTTCTTACCAATAAATGTGATGAGAGACCCTCCAAAATATTGTTTTCTTACCCAATAAATGTGATGAGAGAGCCTCCAAAATATTGTTTTCTTACCAATGAATGTGATGAGAGAGCCTCCAAAATATTGTTTTCTTACCAATGAATGTGATAAGAGAGCCTCCAAAAAAATTGTTTTCTTACCAATAAATGTGATGAGAGAGCCTCCAAAAAATTGTTTTCTTACCAATAAATGTGATGAGAGAGCCTCCAAAAAATTGTTTTCTTACCAATAAATGTTATGAGAGAGCCTCCAAAATATTGTTTTCTTACCAATAAATGTGATGAGAGAGCCTCCAAAACATTGTTTTCTTACCAATAAATGTGATGAGAGAGCCTCCAAAATATTGTTTTCTTCCCAATAAATGTGATGAGAGAGCCTCCAAAATATTGTTTTCTTACCAATGAATGTGATGAGAGAGCCTCCAAAATATTGTTTCTTACCAATAAATGTGATGAGAGAGCCTCCAAAATACAAACCAAAGTTTCCTCCGATTGCTGAGAGAAGGTCAATGAAACTCTAAATAATAAAAATGGTTTCCAATTATATTTACATAGTAGCTTGTACGATCACAGCGTTTCCCAAAACCTTCGTCTGATCAAGGAGAAATTGAAAAAAATGATCAGAATTTTACTCTTAGACGAATATGCCTTCCTCGTTGTTACTTGAACAAAGATTTAAATCGGACAGGGAAATCTACAAGAGAAGTTTCACTTGAAATTCCGTCTACAATCTCTGTAATACTAAATGTGCAGACTATCCTGTTGTTATTTGAGTATTCTGTGGTACTTCGTGAAAAGGGGTTTAAGGAATTGAGTATTTGAAATCCTATTTTTACTACTTCTTACTTTGAATACTGTTAGATCAAATAATCTAAGTTTAAAATATCAAAGGTCTACTCCATCAGGATTAGAAAATTTAAATTCGCCGCAAATAATCCGGCATGAAAAGATCACTCTTTTAAAAACAAAGTATACTTGGAAAAAAGAAAGCTGCCCCTAGCCCCCCAAAAAATCGCAAAATATGTCAGAATGGATCTTTCATTTAAAAAAGATTTTTCGCATTTGCAACTTTTTTGAAATTCATACTTTTTATCAGAAATGCTTGTTTCCGTTTCCAATCATAGATCTGGCGTTCTACTTCTAATTCTATTTTGCGTATTCAATACAATACAACAGTAGAATCAAATTCAGAAACCTTGTTTTACAAAAACTGGCAAATCTTATTGGTGAATCCCCTACCTGTGATTTAAACTCCATTAGACTATAATTAGACTTATTGGTGAATCCCCTACCTGTGATACTTCATTAGACTATAATTAAACTTATTGGTGAATCCCCTACCTGTGATTTAAACTCCATTAGACTATAATTAATCTTATTGGTGAATCCCCTACCTGTGATTTAAACTCCATTAGACTATAATCCATTCCATCCAAATAAATGTTGAGCATAACGTACCCTGTTGAATAAGTGATGTTCTGCAGCATTTCCGACATTTCCTGACAACAAAATTTTGAGTTGAATTTGAAGTTTTCTTTAAAAAACAGTAATAAATATTAATTAATTATAATTCATCTGCGCTACTATTTAAAGCTCTCTTACCTAGCCCTTGTCCTAAACTAACTTGTCTTTATAATTATACTTAACTTTAACTGAGGAAATAATATAAAGTTTTAGATTTTTGTTTTTTGATTTTTTCTTTAATTATCATATTTTAAACTTTAACTGAGGAAATAATATAAAGTTTTAGATTTTTGTTTTTTGATTTTTTCTTTAATTATCATATTTTAAGATTTTAAGAACCTGCATCATAAAATTTAAAATATCTTTTAGTAGCAATATCTGTTTGTTTGTTGGAGCATAAGACATTTTTGAACCCCTTGACTGATATGCCGCAAATGTTCATTAAGTAACTTGTTAGAACCACGGGAATGTTCCTAGCGTGGTTTGAACATTTAAGTTAAATAGGTTGACTTTTATAAAGAAAACTACCATCTTAGGCAAAGCTGAGTTTAACAGTTTTTTTTTATAAAATACTAGCTTTTGTCAAAGGTGAAGTTGAAACAGTAGATTCCATCTTCGCATGCACGCAGTCTTCAGGGCAGGTTCCCACTGGAGGTATTATAAAATCAGGATTTCTGAAATATTTTAATTATTAACATCTGCTTCGCAGAACGGGTCGTTATTTCACTTAATTGTCCCAAGGGACTTTAAGTAACTTTACGTATTACGTCCCAATGTTTGGGGAATCATGGGTCGGTAATGTTGGTCAAAGGGCGATAAAAAAATCATGATTTCTGAAATATTGAAATATAAAATCAGGATTTCTGAAATATTGAAATATAAAATCAGAATTTCTGAAATATTGAAATATAAAATCAGGATTTCTGAAATATTGAAATATAAAATCGGGATTTCTAAATTATTAAAATATAAAATCAAGATTTCTGAAATATTGAAATATAAAATTAGAATTTTTGAAATATTGAAATATAAAATCAGGATTTCTGAAATATTGAAATATAAAATCAGGATTTCTGAAATATTGAAATATAAAATCAGGATTTCTGAAATATTGAAATATAAAATCAGGATTTCTGAAATATTGAAATATAAAATCAGGATTTCTGAAATATTGAAATATAAAATCAGGATTTCTGAAATATTGAAATATAAAATCAGGATTTCTGAAATATTGAAATATAAAATCAGGATTTCTGAAATATTGAAATATAAAATCAGGATTTCTGAAATATTGAAATATAAAATCAGGATGTCTAAAATATTATATAATAAAATAAAGATTACAAGATTACTGAAATTTTAAAATTTCTGTCAATTTTTTGAAATTATGTTAGAAATCCTTTTTAAAAAAAATCTTTACTCAAATAATTGTTTTAAGTTGTGTATGAACTGGAGGGGGGAGCAGAACCCTAGAGACTTATCTATTTGTGAGTAGATAGGACTGATACAGTTACTAAACCTAAATAACAGAAAAAGATAGTTTTGAGTTTTGTTTTAAAACATTTAGGGTTTTTAACGTTAAAACTGCTCCATGAGGAATGTGAGTTTTTTATCTCATTAAAAAATGCTATAACAAAAAGTTTTCTTTTATTATGCAATTTTATTCTGTGATCAAAGATATTAACAAATACGATTTTTAAGACGATTTATTAAAACTATTTTTAAAATGTTTATGTCATAAGCCTCTTAAAGGTCTAAAAGATTTGAATGTTTAAAAGGGACCTCACAGGGCGTCCAGAGAAATATGGAAATTCAGTGGTAATACCTTATTTGTCATGCAGTTTTTAAAATCTTTTCATTTTCAAAACTTTTCAAATTTTCGGTTGACTTTTCATTTCCCAAGATGAAAATTGTGATATCTCGACCATTTTTAAACAGTCGGACAACATTTTTTTGGAAATCCCAGAATCAGGAAAGATTTTAATGTATCATTTGACACGTTAGCTTTTCTTCATCTTAATGATTAAAATGTGGGAAATTGAGTTCTAAAATTTTAATTCTACTGTTTGAAAAATATGCATTTTTAGAAGCTGTTTTCACATTAGGGATTATTTGATATATGCATACAGTATTAATTGCAAAAAATTGAAAGCTGATAAAAAAATTCAAACAACGTCATTTTTAGTTTTTACCTTTCAAAAACAATGCTACTACTTTTAACTTCGCATTCGGTTTTTGAGTAATGTGATATTTTATCTGCAACTATTTAAAACGATAAACAACAAAACTTAAAGATTATTTTAACATTTTGTTGGTGATATTTTTTAGTTGAAAATATTTTTTTTATATGAACCATTTGGCTATTGCTGCAATGACAAAAAATGTTTATCGTTAAGATTCCTAAATGCATGTATTCATTTTCATCAGACTGATCCACACAAGCGTAGCTATTTAAAAACCCTTGAAAAAAAATTTAAAATTTTATCATTTCTTGCGTTTTTTGTTTAATTTTTACCTCTTTTTAAATCCGTTTTATCCATCACGGATTTTGTTAGCAGAATGTCATTTATGGTGTTTTCTGACAGAATCTAAAATATGATTAACAGGCTTTTAAGAATTACATTTTTTAAATGCAAGATATAGTTTGAGGTCGAACTTAATGAATTTTAAAAACTAGCTGTACTTTAAACACGGGTAATTGAAACTTTGAACCTAGTTTAACCACTTCTTTCTGATTATTAAACCCAACCTCGGAGCAATTTTATTTAACCAGGAACCTAATTTTACAAATATAAACTGTTTACCGCCGCACCGGTTCAAATTTGAACCAGAAATTCAGCGACGTGGCTCAAAGGAATTGAGTCTTTGCAACAAACTCTGATTTTCTAGTCCTTTTATTGTTCAAACCAAATGTCGTAGACCTTCGATATTTCAAACTATGAAATATGTTAGCTCAACTTATCTAAGTTTGAAATATCAAATGTGTGCATCAGGTCGCTAAGATATTGGAATTCGAAATTTAAAGTTTGTTGCTAAAACTCAATTCCTTTATAACATACAATATGATTGCAAGAATGTAGAAGATACGTGTTTTTATGTACTAATAATTAATTAATTTGTTATTAAGCAAAAAATTTTAATTTGAAAAACATATTTGATTTTTACCTTATCATTGTTTAGCACTGATGAATACGTACTTAGTTTCTGAACAACAACAAAATTAAAATCAGAAATCAAAACAAAAATGTATTCTAACCGTATCTGCTAAAGTGATTCCCATTCCAGAATAAAAGATGGTGTTTGTAGGAGCAATTTCTAAAAAATACAAAATTTTAAAAGATTCAAACAAGACTAAAACTACCAAGGCTGTAATGCAAGGAAAGTGAATTGAATTTGCGTACACTCTGAGTACATATACTCTCTGGGCGGAATTTGTAAACAATAATAGATGCATCAGTGTTCGTTTTGTATCCGAGGGGGTTAAAAGCAATAAATTTTGATAATTTTTATAATTCACATAATAGTTTCCTATGACCAGAATATTTCATTGATTTTTTTTATGTGAAAGATGGATCCCATGTCAGGCTTCGACATCCGTCTTGTGTTTACATTACCGCCCAGAGACAGTACACTGCAGTACAAAAGATGCGTACACCTCTGAAATAACTTTCCTTGCATTACAAGAGCAAAAAGAGCATGGTAGTAGTTTCTGAGTGGATAAAAGAAAAAACTTAGTATGATCAGTTTGGATAACACATAAAACTTTCTCTTTATACAATATAAAAAATTATGCGTGGATTTAAAAAATTTTAAGAGATTAAAAATTTGTTTGTGAGAAATTATTGAAATTCTGAGCATCCAAAAACCTTTTCTGTGGTCATGTGAGTTGCCATAAAAATGTGTTGGCTCGGTTCAGCCGTTTCTTGGATAAAAAAAAAAACACAATTACAAGCAAAGTTTATAAATATATCGATAAATCTGTTCGTCGGCAAATCCTGCTTACAACTTTTAGGATTAAATTTATAAAGAGTTTAAATTCATATTTTAAATAAAAAGAAATTCTAAAGTGTTAAACTTTAAAAAAGGTATGAAAGTACAATGTGTCCCAGGAAAAAAAAATGCAAACCATGATCAAGATATAGAACACTACTTCTGTCCGTGACAACTGCAAATGATAATCCAGTCATTCTCCGACCAACTCTATCAGTATGCTTCATTTTACCCACGCTACTAAAGCACTACAAAATGTACTTTGGATTAATTTGAGGGAGTGACAGCAATTATCATAAATGTCAAAATTAGGAATTTCCCAAATGCCTGGGTATCTGGGAAATTTCCCAAATGCCTGGGTGTCTGGGAAATTTCCCAAATACCTACATATATTTCAGGGTGGTATATTTTTAAGATTTTGGAAATTTCTCAAATGACTGGAAATTTCCAAGATACCCAGGCATTTGGGGAATTCCCCAAATACCCAGACTATTGAGGAAATTCCCAAATACCCAGACATTTGGGGAATTCTCAAATACCTATAGGAATTTGGGGGATTTCCCAAATGCCTGGGTATTTGGAAAATTTCCCAAATGCCTGGGCACCGGAAAATTTTCACAAATGCCTGGGTGCCTGGGAAATTTCCCAAATACCTACATATATTTGAGGGTGGTATATTTTTAAGATTTTGGAAATTTCTCAAATGACTGGAAATTTCCAAGATACCCAGGCATTTGGGGAATTCCCCAAATACCCAGACATTTGGGGAATTCTCAAATACCTATAGGAATTTGGGGGATTTCCCAAATGCCTGGGTGTCTGGGAAATTTCCCAAATGCCTATTTAAAAAAATGTAAATGCTGTCGTATCATGACTATTAAACACAAATAAACACATTTTATTTTGAAAAAAAAGTTACCTTGAACTGCAATACATATTCACCTTGAAATTAGATAAAATTTCATCAATATAGCATATACAATATACATGTTTAATTGAATTTAATTGAACGATGCTTTTCATTTTTCTTAAAAAATTTATTTATATTTCACACTGTAAAGTAGATATATTTTAAGTTCTCACGTTTTTTTCCAAATTTTTATTTGATTTTTTGATATCTCCCAAATTTGTCCCATTTTTGATTTGATATGTCCCTATATTGCACCATTTTAATTTGATATTTCCCAATTTTGTCCCATTTTGATTTGATGTGTCCAAATTTGTCCCATTTTGATTTGATATGTCCCAATTTTGTCTCATTTTGATTTATTTTGTCCATATTTGTCAATTTTCTAGCGGGCGGGATCTATGAACAACTGAAGTGGGCACAACGAGTGACCACTTTGAGATAAAAAAACAGTTTTTGGTCTATCAAACTGTCCTTAATCGTTTAAATTGATCAATAACACAGAAAGAACTTCTAATAACTGTGATTTTAAATATTCCTCGATTAAAGTATTGGTTGCAGCAGTCTAAGCTAGAAGCTCCCAGTCCTATTTTAGTTCAGTGTTTTATTTGATCAATATATTTTACATGCTATCAAGTAAAACAGTGATAACCAGAAAACTGTAGAATAGGAAGACGACATTAATAGCATTTGATGTTGTTAATTGAAATGGCTCCTTTTCCTAATCTTGATTGTGTGGATAGTTCAATTCCATTTTTTTCCTTCTAATTCTAAGGGACTGCATCCATAATTTCAAGTGAGCCTTCATTTATGTCCAATTAACAAATGGTGTTTTTAAACTTGGTTTCTTCCGTTATCCATTTAAACCCAATAAAACTGCATGAACAATGAACATCCCTGTTTTGCACCAAATAACAACATCTTCACAACTCTATAGAGCATACCTTTTACTTAATATTCTGCTTTAATAATATTAAAGGGGGGTTGTGTATAGTGTGCACAATGTACAGGGCTTCCCAAAAGAGACGAAGTTCGGATTTTATTCATGGTTTTCTTACTTGTATAGCTAATTGCAGTTCTAAAACACATATTTCTTTAACAACTTTGTTAAGGCAGATGACCAAATTTAATCTTTATGTCATTTTATTTGTAAAACAGGTCTTCATCAGAGTCTTATCTTTTGTTGGTAACTTTGTAAATATTCAGATAAACATCCTTATTTAGATGAAATAGTTAAAAAAAATAGTTAAAACTCCATGAGAAAAATTTGTTTACCGAAAATGTTTTTTTTTAGCAGAAAAAAGTTCAAATCTATTGAAAAGGTTAGTGTTCCTTTGTAACTGCATCTAGAAGCTGAATTGGATCATTATTAAATCTTCCAACAGTTTCTTTATATTCAGCTTCTAGCTCATTCTTAAACTCATCTGTCCAGTTCTCAAACTTTTCTAAATTTAAAAATAACATTTAGAAGGAGTTATCAGTACTTGACTGTACACAAGCAGGTCGGTATATAGTATACCTGCAGGGGAATATATTTTCAAGAATTTATCCCCCCCCTTTTTTGTCTTACATTTTTCCAAAGGCGACTTCCCAAGTCACAATTTCCCAATTGGGATCTTCCCAAATGTGCAATTTTCCAAGCCGCAGGCTGCAATGAGGGCCAAGCGATACGGCTAGGATCTGCTAGAGGGCTGAGCGCTACGGCTAGGATGTGCTAGAGGACCGAGCGCTCAGGATAGAACATGCTAAGGGGACGAAGTAGCCATTTGGAAATTGCACATTTGGGAAGTTGTCACTTGGGAAAATACCCTTGAGAATTTGCCGTTTGAGAAAATACCCTTGGGAAGTTGACGTTTGGGAAAATTCTTTAGGGAAAGTTCCTAACATCCCCTCTTTTCCCTCCAAAGGAAATGAGACGATAGTTTCTAAATGAAATAAGAAAATTTAAATGCAATAAGGAGATAATTTCCAAATGTAATAAGGAAATAATGAGATAATTTACAAATAAAATGAGGAGATATTTACCAAAAGAAATGTGGAGATAATATGTGAGATAAGAAACCATTCTTATACTGACATTGTTTTCCAAACCCTTCTTATCAAACACTTTTCAAACGAAGTTTTGTTTTTCATAAAAATGAAAAAAAAATCACCTCTTTTCTTAATATTATAAAATTAATCATTTCATTGCTAAATTTCTAATTGCAAAAAAATGTTTACATCATTAAAACTTTATTTTCCTTGTATGCTTTCATATTTTCTTGCCTTTTTGTTTGATGCTTAAAAAGTTGAAAAATGCTGAAAGATGAAGAACCAGAGACTGAATTTAAAGAATTTGGGCAGGTTTGCTGAACTACCTTCTGCCGGTTCAAATGTGAAGCAATGACCCATGTTAAAAAAATAAGGAATTAGTGTGCAGATTTAAAAGAATTAGTTTTTGCCGCAAACTCAAATTTTCTAATACCTACATCTTTGCAACCAGATGATATTTTAAGCCAAGGCTATTTGATCTAACAGAACTCATAGTTTGAAATATCAAAGGTCTACGACATCGGGTTGCTAAGATATAGGGGGGAAACAGTTAGAGTTTGTGGCAAAAATTAATTTCCTTTAAACCGGCGGCAGTAAGCAGCACAAATTCAAAAATTCGGTTTGTTTCTTTGACCTGCCTTCCCCATCTAAGCATGGCATGTGTAAGAATTAAGATCGTTAAAATTAAAAATATGACATATTACGTAAAAAGTGTTCTGTTCCTTCTCTATATCAAATGGGTTCGGGTCACAGAAGATGAAATCTGGGAATGATATTCCTTTATAGAGCTGGGCATTCATCACACAATATATATTTCTAATTTCTAATCTAAAGGAATTGAGTCGTTGCCAACAACTGAAATATTTTCTAATCCCTACATCTTTGAAACAGCTGTATGTGAAACCTTAGATTGATAATTTAGGCTTAGATTATTTGATCTAACACAATTCATAGTTTGAAATATCTAAGATATTCGACATTGGGTTACAAAGATATAAGGATTAGAAAATAAGAGCTTGTGGCATAAACTCAAATCCTTTCGATTATTAATTAGTATAATTGTATTCATTGTAAAACGATATACAAAACTATTTATCCAGTTGTTTAAATTTTTTGTTTGGACCGTAATCTTAAATCTGAGAAAAAAAAGAATTCCCAACAAAAAGTTAAAAAAGAACCATTGAATAATTATGAATGATGGCCATCTCTATTCCTTGAACTGGATCTCCTTGAACTATTCTAATCTCTGAGCTTTGGCTTGGAGTTAATCTCTGAACCTGAGACCAGTTTTAATAAATAGAAGAAGTAGCTGAACTAAGTAGATTATATATTTGAACCACTTCTCTTCAGCTTAGCCCGGCTCAGGCGCACAAGAGGACTGGTTGAACTGGTGGTACATGGTTTAAATACTTCTACTATTTATTAAATCTATATACCCTGCAGACATAAAATTAATCTTTAAAAAAAAGCAAAAGCAAAATGTACAGTCACATATACTTCTGCAGATTAGTGACAAATAAACGTTTCGTTTATTTTGTAGTAACTGCTATTTTTTTTTATAAAACAACGCTAACAAAACGACGCATTGATATTGTTGTTGTTAATCGCTTTGGATCGTTTTGGATCGTTTTGGATCGTTTTGAATCGTTTTGGATCGTTTGGGATCGTTTTGTATCGTTTGGGATCGTTTTGGATCATTTTGGATCGTTTTGAATCGTTTAAAGATAAAAATCAATAAAAGTTCCAAGATTTCAAAACTGTAATATGTTAAAGTTTGCTTTTAAAAAACTTGGCAATAAATATTTTTATCCTAAAAAGTAATAATGGACAAAAAAATATAGTTTTTGGGTCGTTTTTGAGCCGGTGATATTCATTTAACTACAGGGTGAAAATTTAACATTGTGTAAGAAATGAAAATGTTCAAAAACAACAATTTAAATAAAGTTTGTGCTTCACATACAATTGTGAAAAAAAAAATATATATATATAGGTGGAAAACAGCCATAAAATCGTTTAATAGTGACCGTCACCCTGCAATTGTTCTTTTATTTTTGATATTTTATTTAATTTTGGCGTGTACACTTACTTGTATGAGATTCCAAGACATGACCAAGGCAAATATCGTGGATGAAGTGGTAAATAAAAACCAGAAAACCTTCTCCCAAACTGTTCTTGAATCAACACACCAATGATATCCATGAGCTGTTGTGGTACTCAAGAACTCACGGAGAATACTGAAGTAAAATTTTAAAAAGAACACCTTCAAGGATTCGAGTTTTTACCTCAAACTCATTTTGCCTACCTATATAGCTTTACAACCTTATGATGTAAACCTTTGATATTTCAAACTTTTTATTATTTCACTTTTTTTTATTATTTTATTTAAAAGAGATCATAATTGGAAATATTTAAAATTTATGACATTGGGTTGGAAAGATATTAATATCAAATTTGTTACGAAGTCATAACTCTTTTCAGTAAAATCTTAATTATTTAAATTTCTAAAATTAACCGAAAAACTCGAAATCAGAAGAATTTTTCTTTTTATTAAAATTCATGAAAAACTTTTTTATAATTTAATGTACGAAGAAAATTTCGCAAAATTTGTAAATGTATGATATTCTTTTATGCCTTGAAGGGGATTTAGTTTTGTCGGACATCTTGTATAAGAATATTAATCCAACTACAAGAAAACCAAATAAAACATGCCTCGCATTCACTAAACAAACATAGAGAGCTGGTTCCAAGAACTGTCTTATAAATTTTACTTAATTGGTTTATAGATATTATGAAGGTCATGCAGCTATGGATTATGTACCGAAGGGAGTATAAAAATCTACTATATAGTTTGGCAAAATGCCCCTCCAACCATGCAGCTATGGATTATGTACCAAAGGGAGTATAAAAATCTATTATATAGTTTGGCAAAATGCCCCTCCAAGTCCATGCAGCTATGGATTATGTACCGAAGGGAGTATAAAAATCTACTATATAGTTTGGCAA